CCCGTCGGGTGGTTGTCGTCGCGAGCGAAAAGGTGAGTCTGGTTTTGGACGACAGGCTCTGAGTGCGGCTGCGTCGCCGCCTCTTTCCTCTCGTGCTGAGACTCCCGTGGAGCGAATGGCCCCTGCTCTTCGCCCGGCTCCTGCGGGTGCTGGGAGGCCGCGGTGGAGGTCGCGTCGGCCTCGTGCTCGTCCAGCAGCTCGTGCCCCTGTTGGCCTGCGGCGGAAGTCGCCTCTGCGTCTGCCGTGAGAGTCTGCGCGGAGGAGAAAGTGTTACTGTTGCATGCGACAGGATATGGCAGTCGATCAAATATATAGTGGCAACAGTTTTAGGGTAATGGTTAACAGAATGAAAATATATCAGGTATTGATAGATATTAATGAGCAAGAAGCGCTAAAAGATTCGGATTACAATTGTTTTTTTTCTATATCATACGTTCATTTTAAAAGCCATATTAATGAAAGTGGTTGCAACAAAAGAAACCTTTATAAGCACGATATTACTGACATTAAAAGCATTAAGTTAAAAGAGTAAACAATATCTAGAATAGACACGAAATTTATTCCTAAAACATTTATCAAGCTGTTTGCGTTGTTCATTTAAAATATTCTCAACGTATTTTTCACAAAGAAAACTGAATTTTACATCAAAGATCATACAAGCTGGACACAATAGCTAATTCACTATGCAATATGTATATATATATATATATATATATATATATATATATATATATATATATATATATATATATATATATAATATATATATATATATATATATATATATATATATAAAAGATCATACAAGCTGGACACAATAACTAATTCACTATGCAGTATGTATATATATAAGAGTTTGATTTACAGTGCAAAAGATGAGCAGCACAAAATACGTTCGCACATAACTCAGATATTCTTGTTAGCATTAGGGTCTACTATTTGAATTTAGATTCACCGAGTAATGCATATTGCACTTAAGAATACAGTAATTTGATTCTTCATTTCATCATCGTTATCATCATCATCGTCATCCTCACCCTCATCACCACCACCACAAGATTATCACCACCACCATCAGCAGCAGCAACACCACCATCGTCCTCATTGTAGGAGCCAGAGATAAGTTTGAATTTCTTTTAAGTAATACATCATTAGCTTATAAACGACATAGTAAGCTTGATTTAAGCATGTTTTCCACCGCACTGGGATGGAAAGAGTAGTCAGATTGCACCTTAATCCTCATTTCACTTTAAAGGAAAACTTGTGTAACCTTAAATTTTGCAATGCAGTTTTTAGGGTCCTTTGCAGGCTAGATCAAGTATTGAATTCAGTTTGCTTTGTGCTGTTCGCATCTCAACTCACACAACATCACACTGGCCAGTTCTAGAACCATATAAATAACTTGCAGGCAACATTTTGCATCCCAATAACTTTAGTCCTTTTGCTGACTGTATCATCAGATAGAATAGCTCACTAGAGACATTAGCAAGCTATGACTTTTTAAAATTATTTATCTGTTTTGGTTACAAATAAATAGAGTGGTTACCGGACTTCAGTACTGAAGCCGAGTTCTCTCTAGTCTTATCTGAATTTGAGCCAAACAGATTCAGAAATTACTTTAGCTAAGTTTGGGAATGATATTTAAGGAGTTCTGCCTGGAACAGTCTTGATCCAGATCCTGATTTTATTAAATAAGAAAATTTGCTAAATATTATAATCTAATTAAAACACAGTTAAGAGCTAATAAATATTATAATCTAATTAAAACACAGTTAAGAGGCAGGCGGAGGTGAATGAGTAACCAAGACCTGCGTCTGAGCAGTGGAACCCTTGATTAAAGTCCCGTTGAACTATTTTGCTTTATCTTTCTTTGTAGTGCTGCACTAGCCTGAGTGAATGTCCTTCCTAACAACCGTTTCAGTCCAGTTAAGGGCCGCTAACGCTCGAACTCTGCGCTGCGAGAAAATCACTTGAATGGCCCACAGCTGCAGGAGGCGCAAGAAACTGCTCCATAGTTAAACGTGGGTTATATATCCGTAGAGTTTTGTCCATCGTTCATTGTAATTTTCACTCTTTAGATCTTTGTCATATCATGCAGAGTAGTATTCATTTTACTGTTAATGTACAAAAGAAATGCTATTTTCTCACTCTACTGATATCAATATTTCAGTGATAACAACGATAACGCTAAGAAAGCAACGTTAACAATTATAATTTATAATGATATTAATTAATGACCATACTAGTATTACCACAATATTACTTTTGTTACGACAAATAATGATAATAACATAGAATATTGCAATAAGGGCCATTGTATAAGTAACAATGTTAACAATGATGATGATTATGACAATGATGACAGTGATACTGTAAATAATGATAATAATGATAAGAAGATTTAGAGTAATGATTACAGCAATCATAAAGATTGAGATAATCTGATACTGAAGATAATGGTAATATTGTTGATGATGTTAAGAGCAATAGTAATCATAACTAGTAAAGACAATAACAATAACGGTAATCATAATAACTGCTTGTAATAATGATGACAACGATATTGATAGTAATAATGATAAAATGATAATGATAGTACTAATACTGAAGCTAATTAGAATAATGTTAATAATAATGATATTAATAATGATGATGATAATGATAATGATGATATTAATGATAATGATATTCATAACATTAATTGTAATAATAACAATGATAATGATAATAGCTATGGCAATACTGATAAAAAGCAAAACAACAACAAAGATAATAATAATTATATCATCATCACCAATGATGATGATGATGATAACGATGATAGTAATAACAATCGTGATTATATCAATTATAACAAATTGACAATCGATAATAACAACAACAATAATAAAAATGATAAAAATTAAGAAGATAATTATGCTGATAATGATAAAGGTGGTGATGATTGCCACAGTTACAGGAACAAAAACAATGATCATCATCACCATCATCATAATAATCATGATCATTATAACAATAATGATGAGAATAATGATATTCATAATGATAATGACAACAACAATGATAATAGTATTAATAATAATAATAATAATAATACTGATGGTAATATTGATAATAAAAATGATAATATTGATAATAATAATAATAGCAATAAGCACAAAAATAATGATAATAATGGTGATATTAATGATGGTAAATGTAATGCTGATGATCATAATGCTAATAACAATGATAGCAGCGACAACAATCCAATGATGACAGCAGCACTAGTAGCAATCATAACAACAGCAAAATACTTGATTATCCTTTTCGTTGTTATCGTATGTATTACTTCCATTAATCTCAATTCTTTATTCGTTTACACATACATTAAATAGTACATATATACAAATATTTGTTACAGGATTGTTTTTCTTTTTAACTGTATTATGACAATTTTTATCATTCTTACCACTGTTATGGCGGTCTAGTTCTTCGTTCTGTTGTTATTTTGCTGAGTCTATTATCGTTGTCGCTATTCCTAGCATTATCAGGACGACTCCTATTACCCCTGACATGATAACCATAAACTTTACCATTACCCTTTTCACAATTATCAACGCTTTTCCTGTTATTACAACAGAATCTTCCTGCCCCCTCCAGCAGCGCAACCCTTGCAATGGCAACAGCATATAAGAAGAGCAGTTTTCTTTATTTACTCAGCGGACAATAGAGGCGTTAATCGGGCGGCCCCAAGTTCGAAAACATCCCTCATCAGGCGCCGCAGCTGAGGCTCGCCGCTGGAGCCTCTTCGCCACTGAGATTAATGAGCCCATCGAGAGAAATTAATCACGCGGCAGCGATGGAGACTCTGTTGGGAACAGGTTCTCCAAGACTCCTTCTGCCGAAGGTGCCTTGACGTGTCATATGTCTAAAAGAACATATATATATATATATATTATATATATATATATATATATATATATATATATATATATATATATATATATATATATATATATATATATATATATATATATATATATATATATATATATATATATATATATAATATATATATATATATATATATATATATATATATATATATATATAATATATATATATATATATATATATATATATATATATATATATATATATATATATATATATATATATATATATTATATATATATATATATATATATATATATATATATATATATATATATATATATATATATATATATATATATATATAATATATATATATATGATAGAAAAACCCGCAATGCACAAACTAGATTTACTGAAGAAAGTAACACTTTCTTCAATAAGTCTACTATTGTGGTTTTTCTACGTAGTATCAACACGGTAGTTTTTCCATTCATATATATATATATATATATATATATATATATATATATATATATATATATATATATATATATATATATATATATATATATATATATATATATATATATATAATATATATATATATATATATATATATATATATATATATATATATATATATATATATATATATATATATATATATATATATATATATATGTGTGTGTGTGTGTGTGTGTGTGTGTGTGTGTGTGTGTGTGTGTGTGTGTGTGTGTGTGTGTGTGTGTGTGTGTGTGTGTGTGTGTGTGTGTCGTGTGTGTGTGTGTGTGTGTGTGTATAAATACATCGATGAATCTGAAAATGCTCTCTTATCGAACCTCATTTGTATCGATGTCTGTTGTTTCTGTTGCTGATGTTGTTGTAGCTGCGACTGTAGTAGTTGTTGTTGCTGCTGTTGTGGTCGCGACGGGCGTTGTGACTGGAGCTGGCGTGGGCGGCGTGGGCGTTGGTTGAGGGACGTACTCCGAGGATGTGGGCGGGGTATAGTCCGGAGGCGCCTGGAGGATGACCTCCAAGGTGTCTCCATCCTGCAGGAATACTCGCCGGTGGACGGTGGTGGACACGCTGCACTTGAGGGGCGGCAAGCACGACCTCGGGACCTGCGGAGGAAGAGGCAACGCTTGAAACGAACGGATGTGTGACGGCCAACTCCTGGAGGAAAACATCTCCGGAGTTCGCTTGGCATATTGCAAGCATCTTAACTAATGACGGTATGACCTGAAGCAGAACTTAAATAGTTCATGCAAAGAAATGTTGGAATAAGTTTAAGACTAAGTTCGTCGACTCAAGGAGTATGCCTGCCGACGCTCCTGCCACCTGCTCCTGAAACGTCTAGTTAGGAGGACTTTAGGAAGAGGGCGACTGCGTTCAAGATTATGAAACCGATATAAGTATAAAAAACACATATAAGATCAAAACATATCTGTATCCTAGCACCGCATTGGTGTTTTTTTCTGCTATTCACCCGAGGAAAGACCGCCGCGTCATGCACCTCTCCCAACGAACGCGGGTTTAGCGGACAGCACAAACAAAAGACACGGAGGCGCGAGGAGACGAAAGCCGGATAAGATGAGCCAAATGCTCGTCTCCCTCCGAGGGCGTGAAGTGCTCGCGAGCGTCCCTCGTCGCCCTCCGCCGAGGCTTCCCCGCCGAGCCCCGACCCGGCCTCCCGTGGCGCCCTTCGCGGCCGAGGACGCACGGCGGTGAATAACGCACGTACCTCTGAATCCCTTGCGCCGCCCTGAAAGCCCGAGTGTTGGAAACTTGCATAGAGAGCCAAGCGGAGAATATTCAAGTTGTTTGTTCAGGCTCCGTGCGGCGGAAGCGGTTTAAAATCACTGGAGTGGCGGGAGGAGGAGGCGCGCCGCATATCCCTTCAGCTCCTTATCCATGCCTCGTGATAATTATTTACAGCGCTATTTATACGTTTTCTTTTTACTCAGTATCTTTTCAGCAGCACTTTTTGAGATTCTAAAAGTACAAATTAAGAGTAAAAATGTTCTGGTGCTGTCAAGAATGCCAACGTTTCCAGAGTTTTTTTTTTTTTTATCCCTCTAAATGTGTGTGTGTTTTTTTTGTGTATGTAACGATAAGTTATAAAATAAGCACTGCAGCCACGGAAGACCAAGAGAGCAATCAAAAAGGGAATGAAGAGAAAATATTGTAATGAGAAGAAAACAAAATTATGATGAGAGACTTTGCTTCGAACGTCTTAGTTTAGTCTCTGGGAACTGGCAGCTCGACTGCTTGTCACTACAAATACTTCGGTAAAGGAGAGGGAACAGGAAGCGTCCAGAAAGAAGGAATGGGAAAGGACGAACGCCGTGTATAGAGGGGAAGAGAAGAACGAAATATCGGAGCATTAATGTCCGACGGAATGCTTTCACTGTTGACGCAGAGGCGGGGAAGAGAGCGAGCGACGTGCGGCGTCAGCCGGGCGATTTAAAAATGATATCTCGACGGGGAATTTATCAGCGATGATGAGGCTGTTGGCTGGCGAACGCTCTCGGTGTGTGCCATGATTCGTGGCTTCAGGGAAAGGTGCCATACATAGATTGAGACTTGCGTTTCGTTTTAAATCTCACAACCGTCCTTTCGTGTTTCAGTAATCTACTGCTGCCAGACACGGTGGTTCATCTCAGTCTGCAAACTCAACTTCCTTCGCCTCTCTCCTCCATGGCTCTCTGCACGGCGCCCTCGCCCCTTCATTCCGAGCGCAGGGAAAGCGGTGCCCTTGCTGCCTTGGCTCGCCCTTCCCCGCCCAGGCCCGCTGTTATCTGCAGTCTCGAGCGCTCAATCGAAGGACTCTGCGCTGCTTCCCCATCTTCGGTTCTCACTGTTCGGACCCTGCTGGCGCCCCTCCGCCCGTCCAGGCGTCCTTCCCTGTCCCTCCCTTCCTCACCCCTTCTTTCCCCCATTTATTGAATCGTTGCTTGCTTGCCACGCCAGCCGGTGATGGATGATGCAATTTATCTACTAAGGATAAATGGGATAAGCCAGACCTTGATAGCCACGGGGGGATTATTCATTTCCTTGCGGTTTTCTCCCCAAGCGCTCTAGCCTAACCCACACCAGCACCTACTCCCTGTCGATAAGGTTTGTCCATTTTCCTGTCACCGTCTGCCAGCAAGGACTTCCCACACGCATCCGTCAGTGTTCCTTGTTATCCATGAGTTTTCCCTCAGTTGCTTTTTACGACGTTAAATCCCTTCCTGATCACGTTTCATCCTCTTCGCTTTTCTCCATGCAATATGTATCACATTCCTTTGTCAGCCACCCCTACCGAAGGCCCCTCACCTCCACCAATTCTCTACACTACCACGACCTCTCTCGGGGTCAAGGCTCCTCCGCCCCCGTCCCCCAGCCCGCTGCCTCCCATCGTCTCTGTCAACTGGCTAATTCAAGGAAGATGATGCTCGCTCTAACGACCGCTGGGGAGGACGCGAAGGAGGAGGCGCACCAGCTCCTGCCCCCCCCCCCCCGGGCCGACTTCACACAGCCCCTCAGCATCACGACATCACACACATCTCTAGGAAGATTAGCGGACATCTAATTTCGATCTCTCACACGCCATGCAAGCGCCATCTCTGACGTGACGGC